TGGGATTCTAGCTGTAAGTGTCAGTGGAGGTAAGTATGTTTGGAAATACATTTTCAGATTAGGAAAATGATAACTTTCCTGTTTCTGAGGGGAGCAAAACATTCATTTATTTGTTTTTCCTTTTGCTACTTCTTGCTTTTTTCAAGGGCAACATAGATTGTTAGATTTTATCTTGTGCTCACCAAACCCTCTCTTGGTAATATGTACTTTTAATGGGGAGGACAGAGAATATTTGTTTTTCTGTTCCTCCACTTAGTAATATGTACTTTTTTTAGAGTAAGATAATGTTCAGTTGTGGTTAGTTTTGTTTCTGCCATATGGCAATCAGTTGTCAAACAATAATTCTTATCTTATTTTCCCTCTTATATTGTTTTTTTTTAGCTAGCATTAGGAAGTGGCCAACCTTCCTTTTTTGGGTAGTTGTGCATAACTATTTGTTGACCCATGAATGTCTTGAAAGCTTTGTTGAGCACACTAGTAGATTGATCTTTAGTGGAACAATTGCCTTGATATATGGTATGAAAAAAGGTAGTGTTTTTTCTTTTATGTTCACCAGTTTTAGACGTCTTGTTCAATAGTCTTAAATTTTTTATCATTAAATATTAAGTACCTCTTCTTTCATGTTCTGCTAAACAATAATTTTTAAAATTAATCCATAGTGGCTGTTGGACACTTTCATGTGCCATAATGTATGTTGTGGATTCTGAGGTAATACTGTGCATGTTAACTGCTGGTCCTGTAGGAAATATTTGCTATTGGGGTCCTTTTCAGGTGATCATTTCTAACTGTGTACTTTGTCTAGTGTTGCTTGATTAGTATGGATCCTTCCTCCTCTATACTTCTATGACACTGTGACTATATTTTTGTTTTTGTGTTATATGGGTGGTTGGTGGCATGTTGTTGACCCATCTGAACTTTTGTGTCAAATGCCATGATTGCTGACGATCATCATTAAGGAAGAACTTTATAAATTATTAATATTTGGATATTTTAGGATTATCTGAAGTTTTATTTTGATTAGTCATTGATTTAAGCTTGTTGCCTAATTCAAAAGGGAAGTATCTCCACTGCTTATTTTTTCTGCCATATTGTTATATTTTAATTTGAAATAATCACATGGCCAAGAATTACATGTGAGGTCAGGAATACTAGAAATACAGTAGATCAGTAAAACATTTCAACATGAATGATAAATTTATAGTCTCAATTATGTGATTAATGTCTGTGAAAACACATTAAAAGCGAAGAACCATGCTCGAGAAAAGTTTTGAAAGAGAGAAAAAAGTTTGTTGAAAGTTAACCATATTTGTTTGTTAGGTTACATTACTTAATAAATCTACAACATTTATAGAACAACATGAAGCAAAATTCTAAGTACTTAACCATTTCCAAGCTGAGTGTATGAAGCATAAAATTCCCTGGATAAGCTTGTCGAAAAGTATACACACACAAAATATAGAATTAATCCAAACATGTTTTACAAAATACAATTAGTGTGAGGAAGACTTACTGCTTAAAGAAATTTGTTTTCATATTATCATTTTTCTCTGATTTTCTTATGTACAGAGGTTTAATATATTAAAAAAATTTTGGAGTCTTACCACATAATTACAGTCCATGTTGCCTCATACAGTAATGCTCTATCTGATGACTGCAGCATAGTTTCCATTGTCCAAAGTGCTCCATTTCTCCCTGATGGCTTTCTAGTGTATGAGACTGGTGGTATTTCAGTGACAGTTTCAATTGTCTGATCCCACCTAAATCCTCAGGCATACCTGTCAAACCATTAGATGTGGTTATTTGACAGGTATGTCTTTGTAAGGAATAGTATGAATCCCTGTTTCCTTCTCCAGCTGTTTGAGGTATACAACTGCTGAACAGATATGTTGTGAAAGCAATTTATGTACACATGACGTGTTTTGGTTTTTCCAGATGGAAAAATTGTTTTCAGTGGGTTAATTTACTCGTGACATCATGCTATGATCCTCATAAGTTATAGTTAAAAAGTGTTTGTTGCTATTTTTTCTCTTTTTCTGAAGAAACTGTTTCTTAAAAATTCAGCAGTAAGTTAGTTATTCAGTTTTTTCATGTTGTTATTTTATCATCACTGAGAGATCTTACTTCGATTTTAGATTTATTGAAACTGTTGATTGTTTTTAACCAGAGTCATCTATTAGTATACCATACCACAAACCTCCACAAGTAACTCTAGCAGAGTTTTTAAGCCGCAGAAAGAAGACTGCACTTCAGAATAAAAATCCAAGAAGCTCTCTAGAAGGAATAAAACAGAATGAAAAAATGTGGGTAAAGTTTTCTTAAGTTAGTCTTCACGGCCCTTCTTTTTTTCTTTTTTTTTAAGAAGTTCAAGTTTTATTTTGATTTTTAAATTAGTTTGCTAATGTTTAAACATGTAAGTATTTATGATTGTCAAAAAAAAGATATAATATTAATCCAAATATATATTTTTATGCATATTAAACTTTCTTTGAGGATATCTCGCTGCCTGTTAAGATCCTGCATTTTGTTTTCCGTGAACTTTATGTATGCAATGCACACATTTTTTAGATTTTTGGAATACCTTTCAAACAAAATATTGAAATATATAAATTTTCATAACAAAAATATCCATTTTTTGCACGTGTATTACAATGCATTTTTGTAATAACCTGCTTTTATTTATTTCACATACAGCAAGAAGTTAGATTCATCTAAATCTTCACATCCTGAAAAATGTAAAGTTGAAGATGAGGCTGAAATAAGTAATTCATTGTTCAGTACTGGGCTTGGAAATGGTGATGATAGCAGTCTAAATTTTTCATTGAGTTGTCCTGAGGCAAAGCCTGAGTTTGATATATGTGCTAAAGAAAATATTAGTACTGTGTTTTCTACAAATAATGAACAGTTGAATCAGGATAAGGAATTGAAAACAAAAGAAATTAAACATGTTCTGAAGGAAAAATGTTTGGAAGCAGTGAAATTTTCAAATCCAAAGATTTCTGGAAATCCAAATACTTTCATTGATCTTGATGAAGATTCTCCAAAGGAAAAGTCTGCTCTTGAGAAGTTTATGGAGAAATTTGTTCATCATACTACAAGTCAGAAGAAAAACATTTCCAAAAAGAATATTACCATGAAGTAAGTGTAAAGATTGGATAAACTAATTATTATTATTATATTTTTATGTTTATCAAAACAGTTAAAAAAGTGATTTTTTTTTTATAAAAGCACAACCTATTTTATTTGACATGATGTATTAATCATCAGGCAGAAATGCTATTCACCTCTCCACAGAACAGATAACTATTATCTTGTACCACTACCAAAACATTTCCATGCATGAACCAAGTCTTTGTATGAAACTTCCCACCCCTCTACAAATAATAATGTGTACTGTGCTAGTCTATGATGCAATCAACATTAGAATGTAGTCCTACACCAGTAGTAGGGCAACACATCCTCCATGTGCCATACTCTCCTTGTATACATTGTGTATTCTTTTTCTTCTCTTCTTCTTAGTTCCTGTCGTTCCTAGTGGAACATAGGGCTACAACAACACTTCGCCGACGGAAGTGTTGTTGCAGTTTCTATAGCAGAGTGGTGGAGTTGCTAGCCCCACGCCCAAGTGGGCATGTTTGGTGCGACAAGGACGCGAACCCGCGACCCTCGGATTGCGAGTCGAGTGACTTATCCAACGGGCCATGCCGGGCATATTGTGTATACCAATGGCTTATTTTTTCCTCGGCACAGCTAGTGATTCAGACATGTTGTTTTTCATTAAAAGTTATGGAATTTTTGCACATACTGATTTAAACTTTTAATTCACATTCGAATAATTTGCTTTCTAACCATTACTTGTGTTCACAAGAGAAAGACATAAAATTTGAATAATTTCAGTTAAAACTTCTGATACAGATTATCTTTTTTTTTCATTAATTTGATTTCTTCTCCTAATCATATTATGAGATCTGGGACATGTGTTCCAGAGTCTGTGATATATTCCCCGTTGTTATTCACCTAGTTTTCTGGTTTCTATACTTAAGTGCACACTTTGTTATTATAACAATGACCTATGTACCATGGAAATATCAGACCAACTTTGAAAATAACTTGTTTTCTCCATGAATGCATTTTCATTAATCTTATTGCATACAATTTCTTTTATCCATGTTTCTGAAACTTCCATAGGTCCTGACTCTCCTTCATAGAAATTGTCTTGTTTTCTTTCAGTAGTGACTGGATTTACTCAAATGGTGAGCAATGCTACCATCATTCTACATCATGTTGTTGGTTCATTTTGAACAGGACTCACTGCCTCCTCCTCCTGTACCTACTTCTGAGTCTGCTTTGTCTTTGACCAGCTCTTCCCACAATTTGCCTTTGCTTCTAATTCCTCTGTCCCTGACGAGGATCAGGTAACATCCACCTTTATCCTTCCCTGCTCTTACAACTCAGATATGAGACATTTGTTCTTTTACTTCAGTTGTGTTTTACTGATTCTTAGGTGAGCTTTATGCATGCACTTCATCTCATATCCTGTTTCTTGGATTCTAGCATGCAGTTTCTTTCAGTCTGTTTCATGTTGATTCTCAGTTGCCGCATCCTCCCTGAATGCAAGATTTCTTTGCTGTGGCCTGTGGCTGGACTACCTCCTCTTTTCTGGTGCTCCTATCTTGTTTTTCTTTTCCAAACTTGGGGATTTTTTTTCTCATACTTTGACTCTATATTCACAAAGGATGATGTTAATGGTGTTTTTACTCTACTCTGGGTCTTTGGATGGTTTGATATGTACCAACTGTGTTGTGGCTTCTGATTACTGGTCTGGTTTTATACAGTTTACACGTTTTCAGAAAAATCTTTGTCATAGGAGTATATAACTATGTATCTGTAATTTTCTTCCTGCTTATTTTTGGTGTTTTTTCTCCTTTCTTAAGTTGTATCCATTATCAAGAAGTGTTGAAGTGTTATGTTTTCCCTTTTTCTTGGTATATTTAGTATTGCAAATCTTATTCAAGCATAAGAAAAACTTCAAAGTTACTGCAAGTTTTTATGTGATATTTTCAGGAGTAAAAAGAAAATTACAAGATGATAAAGGCTTTCAGATGATTTTCTGCAGGAAGGAAAATATATGTGACAAAGAAAAATCATACACATGAAGAATTGAGGACTTATTTTCTATGGTTGATTAAACCTTGTGTTTACACTGACTGAAAAATAACATATAAATAGAGATATCACTTTTAAAACCAAAATTTACACTCAAACTGAAGGAAAAACTTATTCTAACTTGACATTTGTTAAGCACAAAGCTACACAATGGATAATCTGTACTATGATTACCACAGGTATGGAAATCCAATTTTTAGTGTTATAAACCTTCAGACATACCACTGAATCACTGGAAAGCATGACTGACAAAATCTTGAACTTTGTATTAATACAAAATAAAATGTTTTAGGCATATTTATAATTTTTCAAAGCTTCTACAAAAAAGTTGTCGGTCATGCATTTTGGCATTTAGAACTTGAGCAATGAATACAGTTTGTTTATTTTAACTTATGTTTCTATATTTTTTTTAGATGTGTACACTGATATACATATTTGTGTGGAATAACCTTTTAATGATTCTATATATGTTAACTTGTGATTTACCTTTTTGGTTTTGGTTTTCTAGAATTGTGTGTAAAGAAGTGAACAAAGAAAGTGGAAAGGAAGAATTTGTTTCTGAATGTGTGACAACTTCAGTTGCTGAGAAAGATCTGTCTCCAGTTTCTACAACTGCTCCTGGTATGTATCAGTTCGAGGTTAAGATATAATCTCCTTTTGTTTCTCAGTTAACACTGAATGATTTATAGTGTTTCAAGATTATTTATTAAATTCAAATATGGTGAGTAATAATTCAAGTGTTGCTTTGACACTTTTATTATGTTACTGTTAATTTGTTTGGAGAGTTTTAGTAGAGTATTTTGTACTGGAAATGAAGTTTTTATGGACAGTGTCTGCCTGATGTCATCCATTTCAACATGGATACACCATGATTCATTTCATTCATTATGATGTACTTTGTCATACGCTTTGTAAAGGTGTTTAAGCATATTATTTATGAGAACTAAATTTATTTTGTAGATCTTTACTCTGTAATTGTTGGTAAATGCACCATTTCCATTATTTAAAGAAAAAACAACATAAATATCATTGAATACATATTATCCCTGAATTACAATGAAAAATAGAATTAGAACACTTTTCTTACAAGTGTTCAGTATTAGTATAGTTATGTATCTGTTGCCAAGGAAGCTATGAGACAGATAAAATATGATTTTTGTAATTTTTTGTTGTTGTTGTTGCACTGTAACTTAAAAACTATTTTCCAGTTGAATTGCTTTAAACAGAAACAGTGTTCATATTTCAAAAGTTGGAACTGTGGAAAGCTTTTTCAAGATGCTCTTAATGAGATTGTTAAAGAAAGTTTCTGTTCTATTTGTTGTGTTATTGTTTCTTGGTAAACTGGTAAGTTAAAAAAATATTTTCTGTTCTTCATTACAGTGTTAAATTTGCATAATTGTTCAATTTCACCTTTTCTTTATATTTGTTTCCTAAATAAAGAAAGTATCATTTGTGTGTTACAATAATACAAAACTTGATATTAACACATTTTCTATACATTAATATTAACTTCTGATCAAAGCAAGCTGTCTACATAGAGCAGAACTATATACAAATTAAAATCCTTTCTTTTCTACTAGTCTGTTTTTTATTTATCAAGTTGTTCTTTATTTAACTGATTTCATAGCATCACAGGTTACTCTTTGGTATAAAAATGTTTCCTGTGGAGTTATATACAGTATATTTAAGTATACTCCAAAGAAACATTAAGATCATTCAGGACAAATTTTATACTGAAGATTAGATTATGATTATACAAAACCAGTTAAATCAACTAGAATTTGGTAAATAAGGAACAGATTAGTAGAAAAGAAAGGATTCAAGTTTTCTTGTACATATTGACACACACACACACCTATTAATGAACATAATTACTCAAATATAATGTTTAAACTATATTACTTGTAATGATTAGAATGCATTCTTTCATCAGTATACTCTCTGATAAAGATATTATTTTTAGCCATAGATCCCATATTTCACAAGGTTGAAGTAGCCCAGGGTATTAGGTTAGTCCTAAATCCACATAATAGACTACGAATTCAGAACAATCATTATAATAAAAAAATAAGTATAAAATTAAGAAATAATAAAATAAAGCAGATATATTAAATATTCTAACCAACACCATTTGTCTACACTGTAGTAAAATTTTCACTTCTTTGGGCCGATGTCCAAGTAAGAAGTACCACACCATGTTAAAAATTATACTTGGCTCGGCCACCTAAGTAGATTTAGGTTAATCCTAAATCCATAAACTAAGCTAACAATTGAAAATAATCTTTATAATAAAATTAAAATTAATACTATGTAGAAATAATAAAACAATAAATAAAGCTAGATATATTAAGTATTCTAAATCCTTCAATATTCTTTAAGTGTAAATGACAAAATGACAGTCTAGCTCCATAGTGCACTTCAATAAGGATGTGGCATAAATACAGGCTTCAGTTGCTCCAAGGATAGCTTATTCAGTGATGATTTGGCACAGCATATAGATATCCCTTGCTGTAAGGATAGTTTTGTCAGTGATATTGTAGCTTGACATATAGGTTTCCCTTGCTCCAAAGATAGTTTTCTTCAGTGATGTTTTGACATGAAATAAAGGTTTCCCTTGCTCTAAGGATAATTTTGTCTGTGATGTTTTGGCATATGAATCAGGTTTTCCTTGCTCTGAGGATGTTTTTTTTTCCTGCAGAATAAAGTTGTTAGCCAGTCAAGTGTTCTCTCTACCTTAATTAATTATGTTTTTAACTTTCCTATCACTTTTGAATTTTTAGCACACCCTAATATTTAATTAATAAATCAAATCTTTAATTTGCATCTTCCATATGTGTGTGTGTGTGTGTGTATTATGTTTTACTATTTATACATTTATTGTAATTGTATGATATTGATTTTTTATTGTTTAGGAGCAAAACTAGCTCAGTTGAAGCAGCAGCTTTGGGAAAAATTGTCAGTGCAACGCAGGAAACAAAGAGAAAAAAGGAGAGAAAGATTCAAGTTAGAAAATGAGCAAGGTTTTGAACACCAAAATTTAGAAGATAATGAGATCGAGGAAGAAGAATTAACTGACCAAACAGATACCGATGAAGAACCAGATGAAGGTGAAGAGTCTCTAGTAGAAAAGAAAAAAGTAAAAAGGAATATGTTTATAGATGAAGAAGCTGAAGAAAGTGGAGAAGGTGAAGATGATGAAGAGTATGAAGGTGTGGAAAGTGAAACAAGTGATGATGAGTTGACAACAGAACAAAAAGTGAAAAGTAATCATGATGAAGATGATACATATGAAGATGAAGAAGACACTATAGTAAAAAGAACAGCAAAGAGAAATAGGTTTATTGATAGTGAAGATGATGACAGTACAGTTGCTGGAGATTTTAGTAAACAAGATAAATTAACACATAGTGAATTTGTTTACAATGAGGTTAAAGAAAATTCAGATAATTTTAAAGGTGAGTATCTTAGCACATGCTAACATTTCTAAAGATGCGATGTAATAATTAGAAGATATATATTTGTTGGTTTTTCTACATCTTACAGCATGTTATTAATAGTGTTTTAAGTTAATTAATATTAAAAGTGTTTCTTTCAATGCACTTACTTTTTCTCTCTCATTTCAATTATTGTATTGCAGTTCCTTATCATAACATTTTAAAAATAATGCAATTAAGTTGAAAGCTCATTTTCATTAAGGATTCATTGAAGTATTTTTTTTTCTCCCAAACACTTTTATATAGAAAGTATTTTTAGATGTTTAAGCATAACAAGGCATAATTCATTTTAGCTTATTTTGCAGAATGCTACCAAACTGGCTTCTTTGCAATATATAACACACATTGCATGTTCTATCGCTCTAGGGATGGGCTTGTGAAGTCAAACGTTTTACAAATTCAAACTAAGTCTGAAGATTAAAGGGATAAAGGTACAAAAAAAAATAAGTATACACAAATTCATTGTCTGGTTCTTAACATACCAGATGAGAACAGACTATTTCCCAATATTGTGCTAGATATTTCATATATTCACAAGTTGTGTATTAGTTTCATAGACAGAAAAGTATGTCAATATTATTCTTGTTACTTTTCAATTTTTGCACTGGTTGTATAACCCGAGGTGAGGGTATTTGCCAATGACCATGTTCTGCATGTTTTTATCTGAACCAGCCTGTAAAATCTGTAATTTAGGCTTTTTTTTTGTTGTTGTTGTATACTAAATAGCTGTGAAACAATTCAAAATGAATTTGAGCTTAGTGTGGCCAGAATAAATTTATTAAGAAAAGATGATTTTAGTTAATATGTTTTAAATTTTTGTAACTTGATATATATCTGTGAGAAATCGCTTAATACTGTTTCAATATGTATTCTATTGGTTCTATGTAGTAGCTTTCCTTGTAGTATCTCTCTTTCAGATTGATGTTTTAATTATCTGATTACTCTCAGATTTATTGTATCTACAGGTCGCACTCAAAAATGTAACTTTACAGATCCATCCTTCAGGAGACCTGTAATTATAGTGCCTTACAAAGTAAAATAGCACATGCATTGTAAAGTATTCAGTTTGGTTGCATAACAGTAAATTTATTATTATGAAAGTTGATAAAAATATCTATAACAGTTGTTTCTAACCATATTATACCATAGAGCAGTTCTAATTTACTCAACACTTTATTTCTGTATGAAAATAATACACTTGTTCATCCTAAAAAGATTTAGTTTTTATTTATAAACTTAAAGAAATATTAAATTTAAATTTTTGATAGATATCTAAGTATTGTTTAATATCAAATTTAGTACAGGGACACACAGTACAATAATATATTTTAAGTATCCAGAAATTGTTTTTAAAATCCTTATAATTTATTTTTTGCTATTTTTTTTTTTAAAGAATTAGGCTGTTTCCTAGTGGATTATTTTTCATTGGAGGTAAAGGTCTTTACAGACTCAGTGATTTTAATATTCTCATTTTTTAGAAAATGAGTTTTTGCACTAGATAACATACTTAGTTTTTCTTCTTAACCTCTGGCTAAGGTTTTAAGATCATCTGATATTATAATGCCTTGGGTTAATGCTCACTATTGTATCATTATAGAGGAGATTATTGAAGTTTTGTAGGACCTGGTATTTTATTGTCAACTTGCTGAAAGAAATATTGTTTTCTTTGTTCTTCTGAGATTTTAGAGGGATAGTTACTGTCATACAAATTACATTCATTAAGGATATATAGTGAATGATGAGCCTAAAAGGGTAATTTTGTATGCTTCAGACTATATTAAAACCAATAGACCTAAGAATTGTTATAAAGGAAATAAGCATTGGTTTTAAACATAACTTTGATTATGAAAAGTTGATTTTATTTTGAAAAATATTGGTGTATCTAAACCATATGTAATATTCTGTATTACTTAGTTTAGTTTTGTAAAATCTTAATAAAAAAAATATATCTGAGAGATAAGTTAGATTGATATTTTAATTGCACTCTGCGATAGTGACCAAGCCACTTTTGGAACGGATAACAAGTGAGGAACTATTTCAGTTCAGTGCTACAGAAAAAAAAGAAGAACAAAAAAAATCACAAGGTTAGTTTGTTCATTTACAAATAAATCATGCTTATATGACTCAAAAATATTATTATTCCTTAAAACATGTTATATGATCTATAGTAACATTTCAATTACATTGACATATGCATTTACCTCAATTTTTCTACATGAGCATAGTTACTGTGAAGTAAAAATCCTGAAAAACAGTGCAAATTCTAAAGAAGTAAATGGTCAGTTTTGTCTGGGTAACATTTATTTTATTAATTTTTCTTATTTACAGTATGATTTAATGTCTTTGAAATATTTACCTATTCTTATACTTTTCCTTTTATTAAAACACGGCTGTAGAGCTGTTTGAATATACTTACACTAAAAACGTCATAGATTCAAAAAATGTTTAAATGGAACTGTTTATAGCTAGTAGGTTTTGTGTAATAAGCTGACTTTTTTTTTTATCTTGTGGTAGATATCATGAGAGAGACGAGCATGGAGAGTTTGGAAAATAGTTTTGACTTCTCATGTTCTTCTTTACCACTCTTCCAACCTGAACAGACAATAGATGGAGCAAAATTAAGGTCAATACCTCACAACATATCATATGATGAAACCTCTAGTCCTCAGATTACTCCTTCACTTAAAAATGTAAGACTTTTAAAATGGAAGATATTTACTTTTGATGTTACTAAAAAAGTGGTACATTTTGTTAGTCAATTAATATAGAATGATCAGTTGAAAATAGTTGGAATTATTTTTGCTAAATGTCAAACACATCTTAAAACAATTAAGAGAAGTATATATAAATCCTGTTGGACTTAGTAAGTCTGTCTGTCTTATATCTTAGTCACAGGAGGGCTTATTGGATATACTCTGGTATATTTCTACTAAAAGGTTATTTTAACATCTCCATTTTATGTCAAAATATTAGGAGTTATGTCCTTCCCACAACTGGCTGTAGACAGTGTGAGGCAGTAGGAATTGAGACATTGTGTTAAAGCACTCAGTTTCTAACTCCTAATTTGATCTTCTGTAACAGCTAGCTAGTTTAACATTTGTATTTGGATCATGTCTGATTGACAGATAATCTCCAATGCTTTTTGGGTTCTACGACCATAGACATTTTCCGTTATGAGTTAAAGGATAATGACAGGAACTGGCAATGGACAGCTTTCTTTTTTCTTAGTCTTATAATACACATCTATGTTTTAGTTTTTATACTAATTTTTTCATTGCTATATAGTGTTGATTTAATCATCTATATACTTTTGATGTAATTTAAAGTATTTATACTATTTACTCAGTTATATTTCTCTTTTCCTCCCTCTTTTGCATTGTCTTTGACATTTATTTCTTTACTGGTTTATGGCCTAGCTAGCTATCCACCAGGAATCTAAATAAGCTCCATTAATTTATAAATAGTTTATTTACAATAATTTGAGATGTCTAGCCTGTCCAGCTGCTACAGATTATTAGTAGTTATGTCAGGATATACCATTATGTAAAATAAATGATATAATTCATTTATTAACATGTGGTATATGTGGCTTAAAACATATATGACAAATTACAAATCCTTTACATCTAAGGATTAATTTACATGGATCACAAAATAATAAAAGTTTCCACATTCTTTTGAAATAGATCATTTTAATAGACATTCATTTTTTAATGCTAAAGTTACTATTTTAAAAAAAATATGTAATGTTAAATTATTAATGGAATGTGAAAATTGTTTTATTTTGAAAGAAAAACTCCATCCTTGTGGATTAAACCAGGATTTTCAAAAGCAAGGTGCTGAATATTTAAGTAAAATTATTTGTATTAGACATTTATTTCAGGTTGACAATTATAACATTAAACACAATATATAAAAAAGAGGTAAAGGTAAAAATAAACAAAAGTGGATAAAGTATGAGAATCTTTGCAAGAATTTAGACTTGTTTTGATAAATCTGCTAATATTTTGAAATATATATAAAATAAAATAATTCAAATTGAATGATACTGTTAGAGATACACAACTGTTTCATTTAAATTTAATAGAGTTATGATTTAGATAGTTATAAAGCAGGAGTGTTAAATTTAGTAATTTTGGAAGTGATAATTTATTGCAGGTTTGTTTAGGTAACTGTTTACAAATCATTTGTTGTGTAGTTCAGTTGTTATGAATTGACGTCGCATTACTTGAGCCTTCTGAATTTTTTCTTGTTGTTTTAAGTGAATATTGTTACATCATAATGTTTCGTAGTTTGTTGTTATTAAAAGTAAAAGTGAAGTTAGACTGTATGTGAGTTTAGCCATAATGGGCAATGTATAAAGTGAGTTTCACAGCTTGTATTGTAAAAGCAGACATAGAGGTGAATAATTTGTTGTGTCAAAGGGTGTCCTAAAGGAATTGAACCTGACTGTGTGGATTTTGATGAAAAAGAGACAATTATTTAAAGCTCTGGATACAACTGTGGTAACCAACAATTATAGTGATGATTTTAAAGCTAGTATCACAGCCTTGTATTGTAATAACAGAGTAGAGGAGAGTAATTTATCTTGTCAAAGGATGTTATAAAATAATTGAACCCATCCGTGTTGCCTTTGATAAAAAAGAGACAATTATTTAAGGCTCTGGATACAACTGTGATAACATTTGTGTACCAAATTTTTGTACATGTGTTTGACTTATTTTGAATATATTATGGATTGTGTGCTGTTCGTTTATTGTTGAAATGTATTGCCAACAGGTCATAAACATCTACTGTTAAGAATCACGGCATTGTAAGACCTGATAGGTACAAAAATAAAATACTTATCAAAATTTGTTTTAAATTTAGATCCTTTCATATTAAAGATCTTGTTATGGATTTAATTCAATTCTGATTAAAATGTAATAATTTTCCAATAAATAATATTCCAATAAAGGATATAAAATAAAAGTGTTCAAGATGAGATTTTCCCTAATAAATTGTAAGAACCTGTAGTTAGTTTTAAATATAATTAACAAAAGGACCTCTCCTTTTTAATTACAAAAACTTTGTTCAATACCTTGATTCCCCCCCC